GTCAGCATGACTTCCAGTTTCCTAGTTCTAGCCACCTCCTCTTCACCATGGATGTGCACCATACATGTCCATCCACCATCAGGATGGTGTGAAGGCTTTTTTTTTGTTCAACAAGTGCACATCAGTGCCAAAGGTGTGGCAATGGGTACCTGCATTTGTGCCAGCTATGCTGTCTCTTTATAGGTACATAGAACATTCCTTGCTGAAATCCTACTTGGATCCTGATTTACAACTCTTTCTCTAATATACAGCAGTCAGTGCTACTTTCTGGTCTTGTACAGAAATGGAAAAATTCAGCAGTTTTGCAGCTCTTTCATTCCAATTTCCACCCTTCCCTCACCCTTTCCCCTCCTTCCCAGAACAATGATAGAGTTCTGCTATTCTCATGTTCCATTCCACCAGTCTTTGAGGATTAGCAGTTTGAGGATATGGAATAGGTCTTTAGGACAGATATGAGGAAAAATTTCTTCACCCAAAGTGTGGTCAGTCTGTGGAATTCTCTGCCACAGAAAGCAGTTGAGACCAAAACATTTAATGTTTTCAAGGAGTTAAGATTTTATTCACAGGGATAAAGGGATCGAAGGGCATGGGGAGAAAGTAGATACAGGGTATCAATTTGGGCAATGATATTAAATGGTGCAGCAGGCTCAAAAGGCCAAATGGTCTACCCATGTTCATATTTTCTATGTTTCTATGATAATGCCCTCTTCAAAGTGTAAAACTGGATTGGCCGAGGCTGGAGCACAGTAATAAACCTTCTACAAAAAAAATGGAAATATGGGCATTCTGGCTGTCAGCCAAAACGGTCATACATTAAGCTGCTTTCATACTTAATGCTGCACAAAACGTCTTAGTCAATAGGAAACAAATACTAATGTAAGATAACAAGGTGCAGAGCTGGACGAACACAGCAGGCCAAGCAGCATCAGAGGAGCAGGAAAGCTGACGTTTCAGGTCTAGACCCTTCTTCAGAAATAGGGGAGGGGAAGGGGATTCCGAAATAAATAGGGAGAGAGGGGGAGGCGGATAGAAGATGGATGAAGGAGAAGATAGGTGGAGAGGAGACAGACAGGTCAAAGAGGTGGGGTTGGAGCCAGTAAAGATGAGTGTAGATGGGGAGTTAGGGAGGGGATAGGTCAGTCCAAGGAGGCGGGATGAGGCTGGTCGGTAGGAGATGGGGGTGGGGCTTGAGGTGGGAGGAGTGGATAGGTGGGAGGAAGGACAGGTTAGGGAGGCAGGGACGAGCTAGGCTGGTTTTGGGATGCGTTCGGGGGAGGGGAGATTTTGAACCTTGTGAAGTCCACATTGATACCATTGGGCTGCAGGGTTCCCAAGCTAAATATGAGATGCTGTTCCTGCAACCTTTGGGTGGCATCGTTGTGGCACTGCAGGAGGCCCAGGATGGACAAGCCATCCAAGGAGTGGGAGGGGGAGTTGAAATGGTTCGCAACTGCGAGGTGCAGTCGTTTGTCACGAACCGAGCGTAGGTGTTCCGCAAAGCAGTCCAAGCCTCCACTTGGTTTCCCCGATGTAGAAGAGGCCACATCGGGAACAGCGGATGCAGTATACCACATTAGGAGATGTGCAGGTGAACGTCTGTTTGATGTGGAAGGTCTTCTTGGGGCCTGGGATAGGGGTGAGGGTGGGGGGGGGGGGGCGGGTGGTGTAGGGGCAGGTGTAGCACTTCCGGCGGTTGCAGGGAAAAGTGCTGGGTGTGGTGGGGCTGGTGGGGAGTGTGGAGCGGACAAAGGAGTCACGGAGAGAGTGGTCCCTCCAGAAAGCCGATAAGGGTGGGGAGGGGAAAAATGCCTTTGGTAGTGGGGTCAGATTGCAGATTCAAGGACTGCAACTTCCCCCCCACCTCCACCCCCCCCACCCCACAGTGGTCAAAAACACCCTCAGCCGTGTCTCTTGCATTTCCTGCAACTCATCCCTCACACTCCCTCCCCGCAACAACAACCAAAACAGAATCTCCCTCATCATCACGTACCACCCGACCAACCTCCGGATCCAACGCATCATCCTCTGGCATTTCCGCCAACTGCAATCTGACCGCACTACCAAAGACATTTTTCCCTCTCCACCCTTATTGGCTTTCTGGAGGGACCACTCTCTCCATGACTCCCTTGTCCGCTCCACACTCCCCACCAGCCCCATCACCCCTGGTACTTCTCCCTGCAACCGCAGGAAGTGCTACACCTGCCCCTACACTTCCCCCCTCACCCCCATCCCAGGCCCCAAGAAGACCTTCCACATCAAACAGATGTTCACCTGCACATCTCCTAATGTGGTATACTGTATCCGCTGTTCCCGATGTGGCCTCCGACACATCGGGGAAACCAAGTGGAGGCTTGGGGACTGCTTTGAGGAACACCTACACTCGGTTTGTGACAAACAACTGCACCTCGCAGTTGCAAACCATTTCAACTCCCCCTCCCACTCCTTGGACGGCTTGTCCATCCTGGGCCTCCTGCAGTGCCACAATGATGCCACCCAAAGGTTGCAGGAACAGCATCTCATATTTAGCTTGGGAACTCTGCAGCCCAATGGTATCAATGTGGACTTCACAAGCTTCAAAATCTTCCCTCCCCCGAACGCATCCCAAAACCAGCCCAGCTCGTCCCTGCCTCCCTAACCTGTCCTTCCTCCCACCTATCCACTCCTCCCACCTCAAGCCCCACCCCCATCTCCTACCGACCAGCCTCATCCCGCCTCCTTGGACTGACCTATCCCCTCCCTAACTCCCCATCTACACTCACCTTTACTGGCTCCAACCCCGCCTCTTTGACCTGTCTGTCTCTTCTCCACCTATCTTCTCCTTTACCCATCTTCTATCCGCCTCCCCCTCTCTCCCTATTTATTTCAGAACCCCCTTCCCTTCCCCCATTTCTGAAGAAGGGTCTAGACCTGAAACGTCAGCTTTCCTGCTCCTCTGATGTTGCTTGGCCTGCTGTGTTCATCCAGCTGTACACCTTGTTATCTCAGATTCTCCAACATTGGCAGTTCCTAGTGTCTCTGTAACACACACTATTGTTGCTTTCCCTGGAATGTAAAAGTTGTCTGTACAGGGAGGTTGGAAAGCAGCTACTGCTCCTTCTAAAGCAAAGCATTTACTGGAACATCAGAAAGATTATTTAGCACCCTGATCGGAAGAAGGCTACTTTAGAATAAGTGATACTTTTTCAGGGTTCACTTGATGAAGCACGTCAGCTTCATCTAGTTTTTATAAACTTAGATAGGCCATGGAAAATGAGGATTGAATTACCAATAACTCTTCCTACAACAACAAACACGCAGTGTTATAGTGCCTATACATGTATTTCAACACCATTTGAAAAAAATTTTAAAAGAAAGCAGACATGCATAGTGGCCTCATCCAAATGCACGTTACAGCCGAGGTAGGAAGTGCTCATTCGGTAACTACATTTTTTAAAATACATACAAGTCATATTTTTCCTGTCTTAATATCTTCCATACAAAATATGAGCATCGAGATTACACACATGACAGCTACAACCTGCATTTATACAAGCACCTTCAACATTAAGTGGCAAGGACGTCTAACTCAGCAATGGAAAAAGAACCACAAGACTCTGCAGCACGTATGAAATTATACCTTAAAAGACAAATTAGGTCTCAGGACTGTGAGGGATTCACCATCTTTTTTTTTTTTAAACTGTAATTCACAAAAATAGCAACTCAAAGGGAAACCAGCATTTATACTACAGAAGTAGAAGAAGAGTGTACTGATTGAATCTATTCGCCAACCGTACAGAAAATGCCATGAAGAGTGCACCAATTAATGATGACCAACTGTTAAATGTCAAGTTTTGTTTAAATTTTAGACCAGGCGTGTTGAATCTGATGGTCAAGGCCCTGTGAAATGAACGAGCAAGTGGCTGGCACTTATTTTGTTGAGTTGAAACAGGCACAGTACATGTAAATTTTATGTTTGCAAAGAAAAGGACCCTATTAAATGACTAGTTTCCAGTACACACATTACTAAACCAGATGGGTTTCCATGACAATCTATGGTAGGTGGCCACCAACACTGGGACCAACTTTATATTCTAGATTCGAAACCGAAAGAGATCAGGTTCGAGTCGCACCTACAAGAGGTATGTCGTAATCTGTCTGATCAGGCTTTAAAAAAGAAAAGACTATATGCCATTTTTATTATTTGAACTTAAAATTCCACCAGAATCCACGATTTGAAACAATATCCCTACAGCATGAGTATGGACCTTTGGATTATTAGCCCAGTGGCATTACCATTACACCTTCACCTCTACCAAATGGTATGGTACCAAACACTTGCAATCATCAGTAAACATCCCCATTCCTGATCTAATTGAAGGGGAAGGGCAATAACAGGGCATCTAAAGATGGTGGGACATAACAGTGAGGAATCACTCAGTGAGTGTCACTGCAGCTGACTCTGAAGGTTCCACTTTGAGTCTAACTAGTACCAGAGGTGTGTCATAATCTGTCCTAACAGGTTAATTCAAAGAACAAGAAACACTTCCTGCTTTAACTTCCTATAACGAATTGGAACAAGTTACTAGTCAAACAAGTAAAGCTTTGCATCGATTACATTTTGTCTCTGCACAAGTTATCTCTCCACTGGCCCACAAAAGGATTTAAAAAGGCGAGAACTAAATGGGGGGGAAAATAGTGTTATTCAACAGTTGTCACTATCCTCCAGTTGGTTCAAGGTGACAACTAACGATCACGCCCAGACTGTAAAACCATGTCGTTAAAGCATCTTTAGAGCTAATAATCTTGTTCTGAGAGGGATGGATAGGACCCAGATGCAAGCAGATGATTATTCCAGGGTTTGCTGCAGCTTCTTCCCCCAGAATCACCCACTTCACAATTACAGGAACAAGGAGAACAATCACCCGGCCACAGAAAAGGACATAGTCAGAGAAACACCCTACCCTCAAATCACACTCTCTCTTTCTCGTTATTCTTTTTTAAACTAAAAGCAAACAACTAACCTGTATTCGCGCTTTTCAATTCAGTGCTAGTCCTGGGCCCAGGCCGGATACCTACCTCCGGTCCGCTCTCCAAGCGTCCGCATAACGACCCCAACCACACCTAGCTGTGATAGACAGCCCTGTCAGCCAATAGACAACATTGTCCCCGCCCCCGCGGCAGTGATGAGCGGAACTGACAACCAATAGTTAGCATGTCCCCGCCTATCTAGCTTTGATCGATAGCACTATTAGCCAACAGACAACATGCTCCGCCCACCCGCACCGGCGGTGATGGATGGCCCTAACAACCAATAGACAAGCCGGTCGCCGCCCCATAGCTTTGATGGACCGCACTGTCAGCCAATAGACACCGCAGTGTCGCAGACAGCCGCCAATCGCAGTTCCTCTTAAAGTGACACTTTGATGGCTGAGTGCTGAATGGGAGGAGAATTGCCATTGGCTTGTACCTTCACTGGATCCGAGTTACTTAGGCGGAGAAATCGGGGTTTCCGCTAAAAGATTCAGTCCTGCAGCTTAGTTACCAACTTACCATATTGTGGGGTAGAAGTCTGAAGCCAAAACTGTAGTGATTGTAATGAGGTCAGCCATAGAGCATGAGTTCCCTGAACGGGGCTGTTACTCTCATACAATCATAGAGCCCTGCCTGATAGGTAAAACTAGAAGTGTCAGAGGTTCTGAAGAGGCAGTAATACTGTCAAAGATTTTTCATGTGTAAATAAAGGGTGAGCTGGTGACAGGATATCAGCCTCTGTGGCATTATTTCAGTGGTAATGACAGTAAACCATGTTCCTGAAGAAACTCACTGGCAACAGTCAGTTTTGAGTTGGGTAAACATTTCTTACATCATGCCTTTGTTTGGGAAGCTTGACTCATTCGATCCTGCCATCAAGGACTGGGCTCAGTATGTGGAAAGAATGTGTTATTTTTTCCAATAAATGACATTGTGGCAAATGAAAAAGAACAAGTGATACTCCTGACAGCCTGTGGAGCCACAGGTTTTTCTGTTATTAGGAGCCTGACTTCCCCTGAGGTACGAGATACTAAAACCTTTCAAGAATTCATGGACATAGTTAAGCAATATTATGACCCCAACAACCTCTAATTCTGAGATGCTATTGTTTTTATTCAGCAATTCGAGAACCAGGGGATTCTGTATTGGGATTTTTAGTTAGATTAAGATGACAGGCAGAAGCAGGTGACTTGGTTTAACCCTTAATGAGATGCTTAGAGGACATGTTGTGTTTGGGATTAATTATGTCACTGTGCAAAAACACCTATTAGCTGAAGCCCGACTAAACTTCAAACGGGCACAATAACTGGCTTTATCATTGGAAAATGCAGCAAGTGGAGCATATGAGTTAACAAGGTGTAGAGCTGGATGCACACAGCAGGCCAAGCAGCATCAGAGGATTTTGGCCGGCTGTGTTCGTCCAGCTCTACACCTTGTTATCTCAGATTCTCCAGCATCTGCAGTTCCTACTATCTCTGCAGCATATGAGTTGGAGGGTTTTCCAATGGAATTCGTATCCTGCCAGCCCGACTGTGCTTGGGGAACACCACTTGAGTGTAGGCAATTGCATAGCCTCACTCAGGACATAGCCTGAACAGAGGGACTCTAGGTCAGCCTATAGCAAAACCCCAAAACAAAGCTAAGCCTCCATTAAAATTTTCTTCAGGCTCCTTGCCGACAAGCTTTAGTAGTTGCTGCCGGTGTGCAGACTCAAGAAGGCAAAAGAGTTCCACTAGACCTAAATTGAGTAAGAGAACTCAGAGGCTGTAACCAGGAGAGTATCCAGGAGAGTTCATACACTGGAAAGTCCATCTACATCTGGTTTGGAACAGTTATGGAACTTATCAACGTCCAAATCAGAACCAATCAAACTAAACATCTTGTTAAATTGTCATCCAGCGCTAATGGAATTCAGTACTGGCATGGCCGTATGAGTGATTGCAGAACCAGTTTTTAACAAAATTCGCTCTGGACTCCCCCTTAAGTTTGTGCAAGGCCTTGACTAGACTGAGAACCCATACCAGGGAACCTTTACAGATTATGTGTACAACTGCAGTTCCAGTCCCTTAACAGAAACAGCTGGTTTGGTCATCACTGTTATTAGTAAAAGGCTCAGGTCCAAGCTTGGTGGGGTGGAATTGCTTATGAGATGTTTACCTAGATTGGCTCAATATTTTTCAATTAAAAAATAGCTGCCTGAGTAAAATCCTAATTAAATACCCGGATGTCTTCCAGGATGTTCTAGGGACTATCAGAGGAGCCAAGGCTTCCTTGCATGTTGACCAGACAGAAATTCTATGATCCTGCAAGGTCCGCCCAGTGCAGTTTACCTTGCAGGCAAAAGTAGAGGCAGGAATTAGAAGGCTGGGAAGTGATGGAATCATCAAACCCTAGTCTAGTTTGTGGAATGGGCAGCAGAGGTCGTTCCAATTTTGAACCCCCACGGATTGGCTCGTCTTTGTAAGGATTCTAAACAAATGGTAAACAGCTTTTTGCAATCCCTTGGGTAGAGGATTTATATGTAAAGCTGCTGCGGGATTGTCCTTCACGAAGCTGCACATGAGCCATGCTTACCTGTAATGGCATTTAGATGAGAATTCCCAGAAGTATGCCACAATTAATACCCATAATGGCTTGTACCAATATACAAGACTGCCATGTGGAGTACTGTCAGCCTGGTCAATTTTTCAGTGGACAATGGAGAACTGGGAAGGCAATGGCGTATTGGTATTATTGCTGGACTGTTAATCCAGAGACCCAGATAACATTCTGGGGACCTGGGTGTGAAACCCACCACAGCAGATGGTGAATTTGAAGTCAATAAAAATATCTGGAATTTAGAATCTAATGATGATCATGAATCCATTGTTGATTGTCGGAAAAACCTATCTGGTTCACTAATGTCCTTTAGGGAAGGAAACTGCCATCTTACCTAATCTGGCCTACATGTGACTCCAGAGCCACAGCAATGTGGTTGACTCTGAACTGCCCTACGGGCAATTAGGAATGAGCAATAAATGCTGCCTAGCCAGCGATGCCCTCATCCCATTAAGGAATTTTTTCAAAAATTTGCAAGGTCTATCTCATTTCACCATTTATCTAGATGACATTCTAATAACATGGAAAACGAAGAACCACTAAGAGAAGTTGGACATAGTCCAAAGGCGTTTTGCCAAGGTGGGCATACGCTTAAGAAGGGAAGAATATGTGCTCCAGGCCCCCAGTTGAGCCTACTTGGGCTACAGAGTCAACAAGACTGGTTTACACCCATTGGAAGATAAAGTGAGAGTGATCACAGGTGCCCTGGCTCCTACATTCATCCAGGAGCATAGGTCATTCCTTGGGCTGATAAACTATTATGAAGGTTCATTTATAAAATGGCCTCCATCCTGGCAACTTTGCGTCAACTCCTGAAAAAGCCTTGGAGATGATCACAGGCAAGCCCTACCTATCAGGGAAGTAAAGAAACAGCTATCATCCTCTAAGGTGTTGGCACATTATGATCCTAAGAAAGACCTTGTATTGAAATGCATTGACTACCCATGCATTGAGCTGGTATTAGCTCATTGGTGACCCAATGGAGAGGAACGCCCAACAGCGAATGCATCCAGCACTTCAGGTAATGCAGAGCGTAAATACGGCCAGATAAAGAGGATTGATGGTCATATTTGGAGTTAGGAGGTTCCACCACTAACTTTATGGATGAAAATTTGTGATAATAACAGATCATAAAACTCTACTTGGTCTGCTCAAAGAGAACAAGGCAGTACCATCCACAGTTCTGGGGGGCTTTCAGGAGTGGGGCTCTAATACTAGGTGCTTATAATTACAGGGGTTGGGGGGTGAAACACCATCAGGAATGCCAATGGCAGGCTCAAGATTCTGCCAAGCAAGAGAGACAGTTTGATTATAGGGGACATTGTTTGGTGTAGGAACCACAGAAATGGCCCTGCATGGTTAAAAGTCATGGTTAATGCAGGGTCAGGACCAGTGTCATATAAAGTTTGAGTGAGTGCTATGTCCTTAACAAGCATGTGGACCATATGAAAACTGCAAATTTGCAAATGGTGCAGAAGCAAAATGTGCCCTGTCACTTCCAGCAGACAGAAAGGCTGCTAGAAACGTGGACTCACCCTCTCTATCAAGCATTGATGAGTCCTCAGAATCAGAGATGGACATGATGGATGTAGCCACCTTGACATCTTTGCCTCTGGAAGAAGAAAGTGAAATTCTACTGAGGCGATCCTGGGGCAAGAGGCAAGCCCCCATGCTTTACACACCACCTGCATAGGACGCTGAGTCAGAGGAATCTGAGCCAGTCCCCAGGAGGCTCTCCAACAAAAAGGAATGATCTATGGTCTGTGCCCTCAGACTCAGAGTGGGAGGGATGTATTGATTGTAACAAGGTCAGCCAGCTGGACTTCACAGAATATGAGTTCCCTGATTGGGGTTGTTAATCTGGTCCAATCAGGGAGCCGTGGCTGACAGATAAAATGAGGCGTGTCAGAGATTCTGGCACTCTGAAAGCTGGCTCTGAAGAGGTAGTACTAGACTAAAGCACTTTTCAGGTATAAATAAAGGGTGACAGGATACCAGCATTCATGGAGTTATTTCAAAACCTACACTTTAAGACCAAGTTGCACTTTCCTGCCAATGAAATAAAGAGCAGATTGAAGTTTTGTGTGTGTCCTGGGAACAATAATAAACACTTTAACCCGTGTTGACAGGAATAAAGGTCAACTACGTTCCTCCAAATTTCTGATCTAAAGATCTGTAAAACATAATTTGGGGCTATCAGTAACCAGTTAAATATCCATTTCTTTTTCTGCTGATATACAAATTGGAGGCAGAAAATGTTCAAATGATCTGTTTCTGAAGGACAGGGTTACGGTCAGGATAGGTTGCTCACCTGAGCAAAATGACCTGTTTTCAATAAATTGCTGAAACAGCTTTTTTTGAAATAGCTGATGTTTCATTCTTACTTTTAGATGCACGGAGTGTTCTTTGTTACAACTGCAATAGCTTTAATTCCATATTTTTGCTGCACATCAAATATTGAATCTAAAACTGGAAGCTGGAGTTTGAGGATTACATTTCCAGTTGGAATCA